TGTCGGGCGCCGCCGCTCCCGCGCGGCCTTTACGCTGGGCGCAGCGATGCGCCGCGGCGCCCGTCAGGCCGCACAGCTCCCGCAGCAAGGTGGGAAGCGGGCTCCTGGCCTAGGGGAAGGGGCACCAGTAGCTGTTGAGCACGGGAGCGAGGGGCCCAGCCGAGGGAGGGGCCCAGCCTCTGAGCTGGATCTTTCTACACCTGCAATGCTGGAGGCTGCAAGTGGGAGAGGATGGGAAGCAGGGAGAAAGCTCTGCTCGTACGCAGTTCTGTTTCCCTTCCAGCGGTGGGTCTCTTCCTTCTGTGCCCCGTGGATTATGGGCTTGGGGTCATCAAGGAAGAACTTGGCAGGGAGGCAGCTGGGGACACATCTGAGCTCAGAGGGCAACTAAAGAGAAAACAGGGACAGGATTGAGGGCACAGGATTAAAACAAGTGCTTCAAGCAGGGACTCTGAGCAGAGCATGCTGGACAGTGCCCAGTGGCCCCTGAATGAGTCAGTGGATGCTGCTCCGTGAAACTGCCCAGAGACCAGGGACAGGAAAACGGCCCCAAAGTCCCCAGGGGTTCTCCCAGGCAGAGCCTCCTTCCTGGTCAGGTGGATCACTAGCTTAGGGCCAGAAAGAGGTTGACAGGACATCCAGGGACATTGTGGGGCTGCAAATGGGGAGTGTGGAAATGAAAAGTTGCAGGACACTGGGCAACATGGACCTATGACCCAACAGTAAAGGGCACTTGCAGAGGGTATGAGGCTTAACTTGTGGTGTGCTTGCCAAAAAAAATTGGCCGCCACTGGCCTGGATATATCATGAGACTGAAAAAAGTTGTGGGGTGTGTGTACTTACCCAGACTTAATGTAAAGGGTGCTTGTTAAATTCAGTGGTGTTGTGCTATAGCATTATCAGCAATAAAACTGGCTAACTGTCCTTTTCATAGCTGCTAATAGTCAGTTTTAAGAGGTTTCTACTAGAAACCTTTAAAAGGAGAAGACCTTATTAGTTTTGGAGTTGCTATTGTCACACCATTGATACCTCTACGTATCTAAGGAGTGTGGCTTGGAGCTCCGTCAGTGCTGCGGCATCTGTTAGCAGGCCTCTAACCAACCTCTGGCTTCTAGTGGTCTATTTTGTGGCTGATCTTGGAAGCCTTGATGGTGGCAGCTAGTTATTTTCAGGATTGTTGTCTAGTCATTTTCAGTTTCTAGTAGTCTTAGACAGCTGCATCCTCTTCAGTTTTTGGCACAGTTGAATGGAGTACAACAAAATTACAGTATAGTGACATTGAAATAAGCTCTACAGTCAAGTGATTTAAACAATAAGCCACAAATTGGAACTGGCATTGTGGAATTGAATTAATTATGCATTTATCTGTTATGGATTTAAGTGTACTTAATCCCATTTCATTGCTGAAGGTTAGAATAAGATGGTCTTTAAGGCCTTTCCAGAAGTCCCATATTTCTGCAAAACAGATTTCAGTGTGTATGCAATTCCTGACAGCTTGATGTCATATTGTATACATTTACAGGTTTCTAAAGTGGGGACTGGAGAAGTAACGATTAAACTACTTTAGGCTTCCAAAAAGATTCTGTAGAATGAGGTGGAGCTTTCTGTAATGTATATAGAAATGGTTTTATACCGAGGTGTGTGAAATTACAGCTTAATCTTTTCTTGACTAGGGATCTGTACTTTGTTTTTCAGGAAAAGCTGGATGTGTCTGTATTTCCTGTTGAAAATATAAGAAATTTCAGTATCATAGCTCATGTGGACCATGGCAAAAGTACTCTAGCAGACAGGCTTTTAGAAATGACAGGTAAGAGTAATTTTACAGATACTTATTTAGTTGCCATTAGTTCATGGCAAATATTGCATAAAAGTCTTTGTACATTTCTGTCATAGCCTTTTGGGGTTAACTTTGTAATTACTATGTTGCTCTGATCTTGGACATGGCATGCTATGACATAACTGCAGATTTTATTATGGTATATTGACAAATTTAAATAAAAGGAAAATGATGGTAGTTGTCACAGCGGGGTCCTGCAGGAGGGCCGTGATCTCAAGGCCCCCTTCCTGTGCCAAGTTGGCCTAAGGGCACCCTCAAATTCTCGCCCGCCGTGTCTTTGGTGTTCAAATTTGTTAGGAAGGCTGCCTTCAAGTCTTCTCGGACACAGTTTATCTGTACTCCGAGCCCTGTAGGCTCCTGGATCCCTTTGTGGTCCCTGTTCTATTGTAGGTGTTTCGGGGCACCCTAGCCTTACGGGCTATGCGTGGCTTCTACCACCCCTTATACCACGCCCCAAGCCTCGCAGCTAGAATAGACGTCGTCTGTCTGTCTGTCTCTGCCTTCTCAGTAACGCCGCGCCCTTCACCGTACCCGCACTGGGGCTTCTCTGCCCTTCTCTGGGGCTGGGGTCTATGCACCCTGAATGCTGCGCCCTCACTGGTGCTGGAGTCCTCACACTCTGCTGCGAGTCCCCTATGAGGCCTTCTCCAACCCTTAATAGCCTCACCCAAACCACCCATGACAAACAGCAACACAAACTCAAGCCCCTAGGCTATAACATAAACAGCAGCCGCCTGGCCATAACAACATCCAAGCCTACCATGGATTCTTCATCCCACAGCAGTGTCAGATGCTGTGCCTTCATCAGGCTTCTCTTCTTTTCCACAGCAGAGAGCTCCTTTCTTCTGGGCTGCTGGCAGGGAACTGCCTCTGGCCTCAGCTCCTAGAGTTTACAAGGGAGCCAGGCCCTGCCCCTTTCAATCAGCTGACCACTGGCAGGTGTGATCTCTTGTTCCCTCCAGTTGCCCTGGCAACCAACAGCTGGGCTCCTTATGCACTGCTAGGGCTCTTTTCCTAGCAGTTTCCCCTTTTTAGGAGTAGGGCACCTCAGCGCTCTGCGACAGTAGTATATTAAGAGTGTAGTAATGTTGGGGGAGTAAAAGGGTATATATTGTACTCAAACACAGTGTTTTCTGTTTAAATTTGACAAATCCAGTAGATGAGTACTGTCACAGCGGGGTCCTTTAGGAGGGCCGTGATCTCCTCGAGGTCCCTCGTTCCGTGTCAAGGCCGGCCTAAGACACCCTCTTATTCTCACCCGCGAT